TTGAGTGGTTTTAATGACTTCATTTTCAGAATGGGGATGGAGGAATTGAAGATGGTGGGGTATCAGTTTACTTGGGCTAACAATCGAGAAGCTGAAGGGTTTGTTGAAGAGAAATTAGACCGTGCATTTGCCTCTGTGGAATGGTTGGAGGAGTTCTATGATGCCACTGTCACCAATCATGCTACAAGTGCCTCTGACCATTCCTTGTTACTGCTTGACACAGGCCTGAGAACTATTCACAGGAAAAAAAGATTTCATTTTGACAAAAGGCTGGCTACTTAGAGATGGTGTTCAGGAGGTTGTTCAATTTGCATGGTCTCTCAGCACCATTGGGACCCCTCTATACAAACTAAAGGAAAAAATCAAAGCCACTCGGATAGCCTTACTCCAATGGAGCTCTCACTTCAAGAGCCAAAATCTACAATGCATTTCAGAACTTTCTCACAGATTGGATGAGTTAAGGCACAAGGGCATAGAAGACCATTGGGATGAATGGGATACAGTGAGAACTGAACTAGACCAAGCCCTTCACAAAGAGGAAAGTTTCTGGCAACAAAGATCTTGGGTACAGTGGCTGAAAGAGGGAGATGGCAATACAAAATTTTTTTCATGCTTACACAAGACACAAGAGAAAGATGAACTCTATCACGAAGGCTAATAGCAGGAGAGAATCAAGTGTGCCAACCCAAGCAGAAATTGAATCTCACATCTCGGAGCATTTCAGAGCTTTGTTCACTTCTGAAGGGGCTATTGGGGGAGAGACTCTCCTTCCACTCATTCAACACACTATCTCAGAAGACATGAACACAACATTGCTCAAGGATATTGATGAGGCAGAGATTAAGGCAGCTTTATTCAGTCTTGCACTAGAAAAATCTCCGGGTGAGGACAGTATGAGTGCTGTATTCTTTCAACACTTCTAGACCACTACTAAAACTGATGTCATTGATGGTATAAAGAGTTTTTTTGATTCTGGCCTGCTTCTGCAATATTGGAACCACACTTTAATAACTTTGATTCCTAAGTGCAAAAACCCTGAGAAGCTCAATCAATTTCGCCCTATAAGCCTGTGCAGTGTTATATACAAAATTCTTTCTAAAATTCTTGCTATCAGGCTGAAACTTTGTTTAGATGTCTGCATTAGCTCCAGCCAATCAACTTTTGTTCTGGGCAGACAGTTACTGGACAATGTGGTGATTGCACATGAGGCATTTCACTTTATGAACAGGCACAGAACCGACAAGAATTATTTTATGGCTTTGAAGCTAGACATTATGAAAGCATTTGACTGTGCGGAATGGAAGGGCCTTCAGGGTAATATGATTAAAATGGGGTTTTCTCCTAAATTTGTGAAACTGATTATGGTGTGTGTTTCAACTACTTCTCTCTCATTTTCTGTTAATGGAAAGCTGTGTGGATTAGTGAAACCTTCGAGAGAGCTGAGACAAGGGGATCCCCTATCTCCATATTTGTTCCTTATTGTCTTAGAACTTCTTTCTGCCTTATTATCTAATGCTGTGGAGAGGGGTGCATTGCAAGGTCTGAAGCTGTCTCAAGATGGACCCTCATTTTCCCATCTGCTATTTGCAGATGATACTTTGCTGTTCTGTAGGGCTGGCATTGATCAAGCTTATACATTGTTGAATCTGCTGGAACAATATAGATTATTCACAGGGCAGAGGGTTAACTTAGAGAAATCTACCATTTTGTTTTTAGCAAGAACACCCCTTCACACTTGCAAGTCAGAATTGGTGAAGCTCTAAATGGTATTAAATCCCACCAGTCAACCAGGTACCTTGGACTTCCTTTGGGCATTGGGAAGTCCAAGAAGGAGGCATTTGATTTTGTGGTGGCTGCAGTCAAAGCTAAGCTGAATAGTTGGAAGAACAAGTTTCTCTCTCCAGTTGGGTAGGAGATTTTGATCAAAGCAGTCTTGGGTGCCTTGCCCATCTCACAATGGCTTGCTTTAGACTTCCAGTTTCAGTGGGGAAGGAGATTGAGAGGCTATGTGCAGCCTTTTGGTGGAGCAGAGGAGAAATTCATGAGAAAGGCACACACTGGAAAGCTTGGAAGTACTTAACAACTCCTAAGGGGGATGGTGGACTGGGATTTCAAGATGTAAGGCTTTTTAATGAGGCTTTAATTAGCAAACAACTTTGGAGAATCACTTTCCAGCCAAACCTCCTTGTTAGCAGAATTCTGAAGAGCAGGTACTATCCAAACAGCTCAATCTTTGAAGTTGTTAAGACTCAAAGCAGTTCTTGGTTATGGAACAGTTGGTTGGGAACTCTCCCTTTATTTGCTCAAGGCTTAAGGATTGAAATCAGAAATGGGGCAACTACTAGAATTAAAGATGTCAACTGGATCCCCAAGCTACCTAATCAGAAATGGGGCAACTACTAGAATTAAAGAAATGGGATTGAGAACATTGATATTGGTGGACCTGCAATGATTAGAGCTGCTGCTAAGGTAATGTTATCTCTATTGTTTTATTTATAATAGTAAGCAATAGCTACAGTAAAAAATTGAGGAGAGGATAGAGGTTCTTTGTACTAATTCTGTGGTTGTCTTGACCGAGCCATACCAAAAAGAGAATTTTATTTTTGCAAATTAGTTGCAACTTCTGTATTACCTTTACATCATCTCCATGACCATCACTACAATATGAAATCCTAGCATTATGCGAAAGAGAGTTTTACCTTTTTGTGTCAAAAGACTAAGTGTGTTCATTAAAGGGAAAAAAGAACATATTCCCTGAATTCTATGATATTGTGCATTTTTGTTCATGTCATCGTATGCACAAACAACATAGAGAGATCAATGCTGGCTATTATGTGGATTGCCTTATGAAAGTCATTCTATCCTTTCTCATAACAAATTCTAATTGATTTTTTTTCCCACTAGCAGAATCATAAGGATGTCCTAGTTGTTGTTGACTCCAATGATTACCCGGCACTGTTAGAATATCTCCAAGGAGGGCAGAAAGACCAACACTTCAGAAGGAGACTTGCTTGGAAGGCTTTTCAGCACGTTGCTTCTTATGATTCTGCAGTTGCAGAATGGTTGTGGAAGCAGACTGAAGGAGGTATTTGTTTGTACATTAGAATATGCAAATTTTAGAGTTGCTGAAAAGAATGAAAAATCTCAGATAGCAGGACAATAGTCTGTAAAAAGTTAGAACAAATAATATTGATTATTGATCTAAATTTGGGTAACTCATGAAAAATAATTATCAGTGTACATTCTAATCTTTTAAACTGGAGGCACATAAATGTTTCATAAAGCTTGGATGGTATGTTCATGAACATATTATCTTTGCAGATAAGTTTCCTCTCAGCATGACAATACCTTTGTCCCACAAGACTTCACTCCGGTATGGAGAAAATCCTCATCAGAAGGCTGCATTCTATGTTGACAAGTCTCTCGCGGAGGTCAATGCCGGTGGCATTGCCACCGCCATTCAACACCATGGAAAGGTATATTTTGTTGGAAATTCGTTACCATTTCTTTAATCTTTTGTGGTTTTTGTCCCCTTCGCAGCAGGAGGATTAGTTGTTTCATTGTGTGTGATATGTATATATGTTGTATGTCACTGTGCCATATTTGTTGAGTGAACAACGTGTCTTATGTTGTATGTTCTCTTATTTGTTTGGAATCTTTTTCGCAAACGAAGCGTGCTTAGTTCTATCATGAAATTCCAGAACGGTTTTTTGTGGACGATGTTTTATGTTTGATATGCAGGAAAAGATGGGAGCTAATGTTTTTAATGTTTATGGAGTAACTAACTTCTATAGAAATGGACATTTAAAGGAAGCAGAATGGTGCACCTGCCTGAAAAATGAAGTGTAGACTTTCACTTTTACTGGATATGTACTTGTCCACTCTGGTTCCCGTTTCTTATGGTAAAGGGAAAAAAAAAAAATCTTTCCTGGGTTTTCCATACCACGTGGCTTTGATATCACAATAATGTAAAACTTGGGTATGTGATGACCTCAAGTAATTTCACAGAATATGTGCATTTTCTGCAGCAGTATGTTTTGTTGAAATGTCTGTCACACTGAGTGGTTCTACCTGAATAGAGCAACCACAAAATTACACTTGGGTGATTACTTCTTTGTATCATGTTATGATGAACGTATTGTTTCTAAGTTGTATAATTCAGTAGCTTCTTTTGTAAACATAATTTTTTTAGCAACCGATGTATCTTTCCCTTGCAGGAGATGTCATATAATAATTACTTAGATGCCGATGCAGCTTGGAATTGTGTGTGCGAATTTAGTAAGCCAACTTGTGTGGTTGTGAAGCACACTAATCCCTGCGGAGTGGCATCACGTGATGATATTATTGAAGCATATAGACTGGCTGTGAAAGCAGACCCAGTTAGTGCGTTTGGTGGCATCGTAGCTTTCAATGTTGAAGTTGATGAGGTTAGTTGATTTAATTTCTTCTCTCTTTATTTTAGTTGGGTTAGGGTGGGAGACCTTTCAGTATTCTTAAGTGGAAAATGATTGGCTGTGAGCTCTAGATAACATATTAACAAATGCCATTCAAACTTTATATTTACCATATTTAAGCAGTAACAAACCACTTCCATGCTTCCATGTGTGCCTGACAGGCCCTCGCTAGAGATATTAGAGAGTTTAGAAGTCCAACAGATGGCGAGACTCGTATGTTTTATGAGATTGTCGTTGCTCCTAAGTACTCAGAGAAGGGGCTTGAAGTACTTCGTGGAAAGTCGAAAACTTTGAGAATACTCGAGGCTAGTAAAAATGACAGAGGAAAACTCTCTCTAAGACAAGTTGGTGGTGGATGGCTGGCTCAGGAAGCAGATGATCTGACGCCAGAAGATATCAACTTCAATGTCGTCTCTGAGAAGGGTCCTCAGCAAAATGAGTTTGAAGATGCTCGATTTGCATGGCTTTGTGTAAAGCATGTGAAGAGCAATGCGATTGTTATTGCAAAAGTAAGTATTTCTTTCTGAATTTCCCACTTGAGGGTATAGTAATTTGAAAAAAAGGGTTAAGAAACAAAATCTCTTCTGAATTTCATGAAGCACCTTCTAGGGTATTGTTAATTTGGCATGGAGGCGGGGCAAGTTGTCATTTTACC